GAGCCGCTGGCTTCCCGCGCTGCCTTGGCCACAACAAGGCTGGGCGCAGGGGGCGCTGCGAGCCGCCGCCGGCGCCGGGACACGTCCCGCACGCAGCCCGCCTTGGAGGCCAGCGCGGGCTTCCCTCCCCGCGGCACCGACGGACAGCCCCGAGCCACCCGCGCCCCGCTCCTCTAGCTCCCCGGGCGCGGAGGGCGGCCTGCTTTCACCCGCCGCTTTCTTGGGGGCATCCTTTTGAGAAAGTCAAAAAAGGGTCTGGGGGAAAGGCTCGCTGGCTCTTACTCTCTCGCCTTCCCCGGTTCTGAGGAGTTACCCAAAAGAAAAGTGACATAATGTAGAATCATAGGGCTGGCAGGGATCCACTCCAGCTCCCTGCTCAAGGCAGGGTCTTCCCTGACTAAGCGCAGCCCAGTGTCTGGCCTACCTGCTCTTGAAAACTCCCAAGGATACAGATCCCACAGTTTCTCTAGGCGGCTTCCAGTGTTTGACTGCTCCGAGACCCCTCTACAAGTGCAGGTGAAGGCATGGGACCTAATGAAGGCTCCACACAATCACACCTCCTGCCATGCTGTGTGCACAGGACAGGAGGTGTGGGATTGCCCATTAGATCCCATCATGCTTTATTGCTGCTAGTGCACAACATAGTGCCCATATTGAAGAAAGGTAAAAAGGAGGATCCAAGGAACTACAAACCAGTCAGCCTCACCTCAGTCCCCAGAAAAAACATGGAGAAAATCCTCAAGGAATCTATTTCTAAGCACTTGGAAGAGAAAAAGGTGATTAGGAACAGTCAGCATGGATTCACCAGGGGCAAGTCATGCCTGACCAACCTGATTGCCTTCTATGACAAGGTGACTGTCTCTGAATGAGGGGAGGCTGGTGGATGTGGTATACCTTGATTTAGAAAGGCTTTTGATACACAACGTTCTCGCAGGCAAGCTAAGGAAGTATGGGCTAGATGAATGGACTGTAAGGTGGATAGCAAACTGGCTGGAGCATCAGCTCAGAGAGTAGTAATCAATGGCTTGATGTCTGGTTGGCAGCTGGTATCAAGTGGAGTGCGCCAAGGTTGGTCCTGGGGCCGGTTTTGTTCAATGTCTTCATCAACGACCTGGAAGATGGCATAGAGTGCACCCTCAGCAGGTTTGCAGATAACACCAAGCTGAGGGAGTAGTACATAAGCTGGAGGGTCGGGCTAGGATTCAGAGAGACCTAGATAAATTGCAGGATTGGGCCAAAAGGAATCTCAAGAGGTTCAACAAGAACAAGTGCCGAGACCTGCACTTTGGACGGAACAATCCCATGCACCAGTACAGGCTGGGGACTGACTGGCTGGGGTAGCAGCTCTGCAGAAAAGGACCTGGGAGTTACAGTGGACAATAAACTGAATATGAGCCAGCAGTGTGCCCTTGTTGCCAAGAAGGCTAACAGCATACTGGGCTGCATTGGTAGGTGTGTTGCCAGTAGGTCATGGGAAGTAATTATACTCCTCTGTTCAGCACTTGTGAGAGCCACATCTGGAGTACTGTGTTCAGTTCTGACCCCCCCCCCACACACACACACACACTACAAAAAGGAGGTGGACAAATTGGAGAGAGTCCAGTGGAAGGCAACAAAAATGGTGAGGGGGTGGGGCACATGATTTATGAGGAAAGACTGAGGGAACTGCGTTTATTTAGTCTAGAGAAGAGGAGACTGAGAGGAGACTTAATAGCAGTCTTCAGCTATCTGAAGGGGGGTTCAAAAGAGGATGGACCTAAGCTATTCATAGTGGTGGCAGAGAACCAGGAGCAACAGTCTCAAGTTTCAGCAAGGGAAGTTTAGGTTCAGTATTAGGAAAAATTCTCTCACTCAGAGAGTAGTAAAACACTGGAACAGGTTACCCAGAGAGGTGGTGGAAACTCCATCCTTATAGGTTTTCAAAACCTGGCTAGCCAAAGCTTTGGTTGGGATGATCTAGTTGAGAATGGTCCCAGTTTGAGCAGGGGGTTTGAGCAGGGGGTTGGACCTCCTGAGGTCCTTTCCAACCCTAACTTGCTATGATTCTATGATTATAAGGTTGCATGGGATCCCTAGACCTCTACAATTTCCACTCTTTAAAGGTTTGTGTTTGAAAACCCTATCTATAGCCCCAAATCTTCTTTCCAAGGATATATGCGAGTGGAGATAATTCTTTATACAAAGTCACCTGTTTAAGCATTCACTATTTAATTTTGTACCTCTGTTTATCAGACACATCCATACTCACTCCTTTGGCAACCTTCTATCAATATGCTTATGCATATATGCAGAGTTATATACAGCACTGTAAAACGAGTCAGAGCAAATGCCATTTGCAAAAATGTAATTGGCAATCATTTTGTCTTTTCAGGTTGGGTGGTGTTATGTAGACTAAAGATGAAATACTAATGAACATTTTCTAGAGCTCCCACCTCACTCTGAATACAGTTTCAAGTTGTCCTCAATTCTAGATGGGGGTGAGTCTGCCATGTGCAGTTACAGCTTAACAAAAGGTATCCTCCCTTGAATGAGAATACCACATTAATTGTATTCTCCTCTGTCATTTAACCAAACTGCAATATCAGTTGGCAAGGCTGTTAAAAGTGCATTGCAATAGGATCCATCCCGTAAAACATCCATTCCTATTTACTGGTCTGAAGGGACTTCATTTGCAATTTATTTTAGAACTGACAGCAGATTGCATCTCACATAATGGGACTACCTAATGGATATACTTCTGCTGCAGAACAATTTTCAGACGGACTAAGCTTATTCAATGTCAGTGCATTTGACAAGTGCACTTACCTCATCTGTTTACCAGTTGCTTGATATATTTACCTAGGTGGCACCAATTTTTCCTCTTTCCAGGACTCCAGTGCTTCCATTTTTACAAACGTTGCTTTACAAAAAGTATTTTCCCCATGTAGCAATATTCCCAACAGCATTTCTGGAAAAGAAAGAGTTTTGGACACCTTTAATAAAAACACCTTTGTAGTGTATATTACAGGAACAACAGAAAAGTAAATGTATAAAATATCACATAGTACCTGCATAGGCTAAACAGACAACAGAGCTTCTATTATAATGTTTCTACTCTGCTCAGCACTGGTAAGGCCTCCACTGGAGAACTGTATCCCATTTTGATCACTGCACTTCAAAAAAGTTGTCCACAGATTGGAAGGAGTTCAGAAGAGGGCAAGAGAATAAGAGGTCTGGAAAACATAACATGTAAAGAAAGGTTGGAAGAATTGAGACAATTTAGTCTAGAGAAGAGTAGGAATTTTATAACAGTTTCCAAGTACAAAAAGAGTTGTTCTAAAGAGCCTGGTGATCAGTTCTCACCATCTGCAGGGTACAGGTAGCAATGGAGATTTAGGTTAGATATTAGAAAGAATGTTCTATGATGGTGGTTAAGCATTGGAACAAAGCACCAACACAGACTGTAGAATCTCCATCATTAGAAGTTTTTAAGTTCAGGTTAATTAAGTATGGGTGGGATGGTTTAAATAGAAATATTCTTGTCTAACAGTGGATTTGACTTCTTGAAATCCCTTACAGTGTTATTCTTTTTTTTTAGCCACACCCAACTAAAAGTACAGCTAATTCTAGTGAAGTTCATGAAGTCAGACCCTTCCTAGCTCTCCTCTTAGATACAGCTGTATCTAGTCTCTAGCTTACCAAACCTATAGTCCACAATTCCTTGGAGTTCCTTTCATCAAAACATGATGGCAAAGTGCACAACCCCCACAGGTACCAACACTTGGAGCAAGCAATAGACCCTTTCCCTGTCTAAAAAGATATGTGTAAGACAGTGGTTTGCAACCTTTCCTGGCTGCAGGCTAGAATGACCCACCTTTGCTCAGAGGTAGGTTGGCACTAGCACACAGCCCACTGCTGCCACTTTTCTCCTCCATGCAGGAAGCACCTGTTGCCAAACACCACTGAAGCCCCAGTTCCACAGCCTGGATCCATTGGCTTTGCCGGCCAGATTTGGCCAACCCCTGCTGTAAAAGAACTCTATGCTTATTTCTGCCATCCCCTGCATGGGTTGCATAATTTAACTAAATATGGAGCTGATAAGTAAGTAACAAAATACTTTTCTTCTTCAAAGGAGGCTCTGGGGCAGTATATGTCTGACATAATTATAAAGAAGGGCAAATCCTTTAGAGAAAGTTTAAGTATGTCAAACCTACATTAGGGTCGTCAAACAGCCTGCCGGCTGCATCTGGACCATGGAGCAGTGTCATCTGGCCTGGGGGGCTCCCAGGGAGGCTAGGAATTCAGGGGCAGGATGAATAGGAGTGAGGTCCTACCACCAGGATCTGGAGCATAGAGCACCATTGGGGATGCATGTCAGTGGTGAGCAATGGCTGATTTAATCCTCACTCTGCCACCACTACTCACACAGCCACTGCATTTGGATCCAGCCTGCAAGAAACCCTCCAGGCCAAATCTGGCCCATCAGGAAGGGTGA